TTTAAATTGAGAAGTGACCTCTGCATTCTTGGCACGGTAGCGAGAGCTGTGAGCTTCAGATTGGTCTAGAAGCTTAGAAGAGTACTAGAGGGCAATTTCGTGGAGAAAAGCCTCGGTTAAACGAATCCATTTGGTTGCTATCCGCTTGGTAGATCCCCGAATAAATCTTCGGGTTTGAACTGTCGCCTTATTTTTCGGAGGGGATGCTTCAGCCAAGTGTAAAGGGTGTGCATTTAATACAGAAAGGGCTTAGATGCCGCAATTCATATATATACACACACACATATATACACGCACATACGCGTACATATATGAATAGATATTACATTCGTATCTCTGTATATGAAGGCAATTGGAGGGGGGAAATTCTAACTTTATCCCTAAAAATAAAAACTCTGTGTAATCTAGCTATCTAAGCGACAAGATGGATAGGAAAAAAAAAATATACGTTGATTTAAAAATTTCACACTATAACCTATCTATTAGAGTGAAACAGCAAAACGAAGAGCAGAGTGCCTGCTGAGCTTCAAACGTGGCACATAAATAGAGTTTTATTTTGAACTGAATGTTGGTTGGAAATGCAAAACAAGCTACATCCGTCTTGTATAGATTTGGGGTTATTTAGGGGTGGATGAAGAACAGGCTTGCGGCTGCTTGCGAATGGCTTGATTTGAGAGTTTACAGTAAAATTTAACAGGCTTGGTTAAGCAGAACATCTACCTCAGTGCGATGCAAGAATCTGAAGCCCTAAGCTGGTGGTAATTGCTGTCTGGCAAGAAGCATGGTTCTTTAATATTTTCAATATGTGTCATGTGAAATGAGTCTAGTCAATGACTTTTGCTCGTTCAGCCGCTATTGAGGACTAGTATTCCACCTACTTTGTACCAGTCCTTCCGTTAAATTTCTATAAATCGATGGAACGTGGCGATAATTGTCTTTGGGAAAACTTGGGTGGAGGTTGTCTTGCAGGAAAGATAACTTAAGACTCGGTAGGGCTGCTCTGCAGGTGTCTGGCTAGTGCCAAGGTCGGGTTACTCGGCACTGCCTTGGTGGCAGGGGACTGTCCTGGCTGCTGCGCGGTGGCCGTGTTAAATCTGATCTCTTGCACCTGTTTGGAAACTCCTCCAGCTGTAGGTCGCTTCCTCTCTTATATCCGAGTCAAATTCTGCTGCTATGCACATCCCTTCTGGAAGCTGCTGCTTATGGACGCGTGCTACAAAAAGCCAAGTTGGAAAACGGATCTAGCTGTAATTTTATTCCGAAGCCTTGTGTCCGTCCGATGAAGCGGATCCCAGGATTCGCCGGTCACAGGACTGGCAAAGGGCTTGGCGCAGAGGGGGGAGCAGCAGTGTCACACCTCGGCACCCCAGGAGGGGCTGGCAGCTCCAGAGGATGGGGGTGTTGACCTCTTTGAAAAGGATTAAAATGAAACCGTTTCTGCCTCGTTCCTTCTCGGAGGATGACGATCGGGTTGGTTTCACAGGCTGTGGGATCGCTCCTAACCGGCAGCGGTCTAGTCTTCACCGACACGAATCGGTACTGGCGTGGGGTTATGTTAGTGCACCAGGCTGTCCTCGGTGCCTCTTCGATCTGTTCAGCCATGTCTGCAGCAGGATTTGCATCCTCTGAAGGCACGACAGCCACCTTAATCTGCTGACACAAAATGTCAACTGTGACGTTTTAATTCTGATTTTTTGCTGCATCCTCTCCTGTTGTCTTGTCTGTGGGGGACTGCAGCTCTCCGGTCTTCATCGCTGCCAGATTTTCTCAAGAATAGTATCTTGATGCAGAGCTTAGGAAGTCAAATGGTTACTTGTTTTTGACACTCTGATTGTTACTGAGTGATATCAGGTAATGTGATGAAAAATATGCAAGAGATTGATTTTTTTTTTTTTTTTTTTTTTTTTGAATAATAAAGATGATGTCTTAAAGTGTACTGGAGTTAAGGAAAATGCGTAGCAATGTCTGCTAGTTTAGTTGGATTGGCACGGTCCCATTAGGTGGATTTTCTTTTCCTTGATTATCTTAGCTACCAGTCCCTGTCCCTAGAACACCCGGTAATCTTCTTAGCGACTACAATTTGTTTTTCTTTCTTTCCTGCACAGAGGAAGGGTAAAGATGACGTCTGAAAGTGTACTGG